GAGCTTAAAAAGTAGGTAGCCTTAGGGCTGGGGGAGTGTCTCAAATGGTAGAGCACTTGTGAGAGGCCTGAGTTTAAACCCCAATACCACCACCACCAACAACAACAAAAAAGTAGCTTTTCTTCACGTGGTTCATCGGCAGCCTTCCCAACACAAATGTGACTTGGTCTTCTAGACTGCCTATAATTATGAGAAAACTCTCAGATTCTGGGGTCTTATGACACAGGGATAGTTGAGCGTGAAAGGAAATGCATTATAAATAAATGTGTTTGCAAGGATGCCTACTCAAAGCTTGGCATGTTGGGAGGATGTGTGTGGATTTATATGAAGACACTGCCTCACCAGGCTGTTAGCTTCACCTGTAAGAACCATAGCTACCCAAGCAGCTTGCTCCTTCCCCTACATGGAGAAACAGCTGGCCTTCCTTGAGCAAGATTTTTTTATTTATTTTTTTTTTTGGTCACATGCTCCTGGAATTACAGTGTCATATAGTAGGGACAGGAGCCAAAGCAGGGCAGTGGAAAGACGAGTAGGAAGAGAGGAATGTCAAGGAATGTAAAGGCAGTTCTCCCAGTCCCAGTAATAGGTGACTCATCCACCCATAGGAAACCGGCTCAGCTATAATACAGAGAGAATCATTTTCTGTACTGCCACTTGGGATTTTTGCAGTCCTTGGGAGAGACCTTTGGATGTGTAGAAGAGTGTGTAAAAGACACTCTCAGAACTCAAGCCCCTGATTTCTGACTCTGGTCCCCCCTTCTTTCTACCATGACTTTCCTACTAGTGAGGGCTCTTGAGACCAGCAAAGAACTTCATATTGTCAGATTATATAACAACTTCTATTTGCAGAACACTTCATAGATCACAAAGTATCTCACATAGATTATTTCAGCACTCTGGTGATTGCAGTGCACATCTGGCTGTCTGGAGGAGATCCCTGGCAACCTTTTTACCCTGGTATTTCATGACAGGATATTGACTTAGTGTCTAGGTGGTGCTTCACCCACCACAGTAAGGACAGAAGGTGTTTATTTATTTATTTGTTTGTTTTGGCATTTACATAGCTGTCTAACACTTCCAAAATTATATATATTTTTTTCCTGTGGTGCTGGGAATCAAAACCAGGGCCTCATGCATACTAAGTACATACTGTACCACTGAGTTAAAACTCCTTCCCCAAGTTATGTTTTTAATATAATATTCAACATCTCCAGAGGGAATCAGGTCTTCTTTTAACATCTCTATGAATTTGTTTATATTTGGGCATTTAAACATGTATTGGAAATGCCAAGCAACGAGAGCTCTGGATTCTTGAGTTCTATTCAGTCTGTTTTCAAATCCTTTAGGAGGAATTTTTTTTTTTTTAAGGAGGAATTTGAACTTCAGTTCCCTGCAAGCTCTGCAGAACCCCTGAGGCTGTCATTTGCAAACCACTGGCTGCAGTAACTGTATGTGTGGGAAGCCTGCAAACATCATGTGTGGATTATGGATGGTTTTGCAGACTCAGCAAAGTGTGTGGATCCATAGAGAGCTTGAGCAGAATCAGAGTCATGTATCAGCCTGCACCAGGAAAATGATCCCTACTAGATGGAAACTTCCCACAGGGAGGCTGGAGCTGAAAGCTGGCTTTTGCTGCCTTTGCAGCAAGTCACAAGACCACAGATTATAAAACTGAAAGGGCCCACCTAGGTTCCTCCCTTTCATCTTTTTTTTTTTTTTTTTTTTTGGTGAGACTGGGGTTTGAAATTCAGGGCTTTGAGCTTGCTCTACTCCTCCAGTCCATTTTGCTCTGGTTATTTTGGAGATGGAGTCACCATTGAGGCCCAGCTGGGCTCAAACCACAATCCTCCCAATCTCAGCCTCTCAAGTAGGTAGGGTTACAGGTGTGAGCCACCAGTGCCTGGCTCTCCCTTTCATCTTATGTTGATAAAACCAAAGCATGGAAAAGTGAAATGATCAGCTCAAGGTCACAGAGGCTAGTACAATGCATTTCCACTGTGCTATACTGTCTGTTCTAGAATCTGCCTCAATAAAGCCACATATTGTTTTGCAGATCAAAGAAACTGGCATTATTTGGGATCATGTTCATGGTCTGCCCAGTTTCCAGTGTGGACACGAGACCTGATTTGCTGTCACCAGCAGCTTTTGAATGAGTTGCCTTGTGATATCTTAGGCCAAGAGTATATCACAGATAGGACCAAAACATCTATAAATGGCATTTCATGGCACAGCCTCTCCATGGCATGGAACTAGAGCAATGTTGTACTATTCACCCCATTATGAGATTAGCTGTGTGTGTGTGTGTGTGTGTGTGTGTGTGTGTGTGTCCATTTGGCACCTGATGGCTCATCAGATGACTTGATGGATGACATCAAATCACTAGCAGGTGTTTCATTGTGAAACAAGAGGAACTGAGTTAAAGTGTGCCTCAAAGCACTACTTCAAACAAAATGCTTTCCTGGTATGTGTCAGGCAGGTTTCCACTGCTCACAGATGGTTCTATTCACCATGGAAAACTTCCCAGCCCTAAAAACAAGTTCTGGGAAAACCTGGCATGAAGCAGTACATTTCTCTTGCTCATGAATCCATCGCAGCTCATTGTTACCTTCCTGCCTTTGTATTTCCTGCTTCCTTTGCCTGGAATACCCTCCTCCTCTCTCTCATTGAATTTGTTAAGATTCACCTTTAAGTGTCACCTTCTTTGGGAAAACTTTCTTGATTTTACCCTGTCCTTACCCACTACAAGCTGAATTCAAGTGTCCCTTTTATGTGCCCCTTCTTCCTCAGATGCTTCCTTTCTCATAGCTTATCACACTCTATTGTCGCTGAAATGTGGGTTTATGGCTCTTTGCAATGGAGAATGCCTACCATGGGAAAGGTGGGTCACAGCTCTAAGAGGGTGTTAGAAGGAAGTTCTAGGGTTCGACTTGTATTGGATTGTTTTGGGAAGGGTTCAAGGAAGTGGGGCTTTGCTCTGGATTGGAGGATTTCAGGAAGTGTGTGTGTGAATCCTATGATTGTCTATCAAAGGCATCCACAACATGCCACCCCAAAATAACACGACTTTGGTTTTCTTGCAGTACTGGAGCCTTGTGCCTGCTAGGGAAGTGCTGTACCACTGAGCTCCGCCTCCAGCCCACCACTGTGGCATCCTAATTATTTTGAGCTGAAAGCACTTGGGATTTCCCATGAGAAAGGTGCCCTTCAAGTACCAGGAAGAGAACATTCCTATCATCAGAGTGCATACTGAAATCGACCTGTACAAACTTACTAAAATAACGCTAATCCATTATTTTCCTCCACAGATTTCCTAGTCACTGTCTTAACAATTTACTGTCCTAAGTTCAAGACTTTGTTTTATTACAATTGATTCTTCTTTGTGTAAAAGGGTATATAATATAAGCTTTTGGGCTTAATGGCTTCTTTGGGTCTTTATTTTCCTTTTCTTTTTGTGGTGGTTCTGGGTTTGAATTCAAAGCCCTGTTCTTGGTAGGCAGGCACTCTACCATTTCAGCCATGTCCTCAGTCCTTATTTTCCTTTTTTGAAGTCTTCTAGGTACATGCAAAAACATTAAATAAAATTTGTATACTGGCTGGGGTTATAGCTCAGTGGTAGAGCACTTGCCTTGTGTGCACAGGTCCTGGGTTCCATTCCCAGCCACATACATATATATACACACAATAAATGAATAAATAAATAAAATCACTGCCACATAACCCTCCATTAAAAAAAATTTGTATGCTTTCCTCCTGTTAATCTTATATCAGTTTAATTCTTAGGCCCAACCACGAACCCTAAGAGGGTAGGTGGTTTTCCTACCCTACAGTAGTTTTTTAAAATTTATTTTTACTTTTTTGGGATACTAGAGTTTGAATTCAGGGCCTCACCCTTGGTAGGCGATCCATGTACCACTTGAGCCACGCCCCAGTCTCTTGGACTTTCATCCTACCTTTACTTCCTTCCTAGCTGGGATTACAGGCATGAGCCACTGCAACAGGCTCAAATTTATTTTTTCAAACTGATATATAAAAATGTAAAAATTATATATATTTATGGGGTACCATCCGACATTTCCATACATGTATATGTTGTGTGTTGCTTAAATCAGGTTAAACATATCTCCTCATCTATCAATTCCTTTTGGTGAAAATATTCACTATCCTTCTAATTTTTTTTTTTTTTTTGTGGATGGGGTTTGAACTCAAGGCCTACACCTCAAGCCATTCCACCAGCACTTTTTCTTTTTTTTTTCCAACCACCAGCCCTTTTTCGAGATGGGGTCTCACGAACTATTTGCTTCAAACCATGATCCTCCTGATCTCTGCTTCTTGAGTAGCTAGGACTACAGGCGTGAGCCACCGGTGCCCGGTTTTAGGTTTTTGAAATATACAATATATTATCATCGTCTACAGTCACCTGCAGTGCAATACCACATGAGAACGTTTTCGTTTTTTAAGATAGGCTCTTACTTTGTAACCAAGGCTGGCCTCAAACTCATGATCGCCTGCCTCAGCCTCCTGCATAGCCAGGACTACAGGCGTACCCCACCACGTCCAGCATCTTTTTCCTATACTGGGGATCACCTAGGGCTTCGGGCATGCTAGGTAAACACTAAACTACGGAGCTACATCCCCAGCCCTCTCCTACCACCTTCTTTAAGAACACCTCTCTCTACAGCGAGAGGAAGGAAGCAAAGCTAAATCTGTGATTGGCAAAGAACCTGCTTTGTAATGGGCCAAAGGAGGGAAATGTTTGGCCATTTTCGTAATTAGGACAACCTTCATGTTTGCCTGTGTTAGGACAGGACCGGTCAAGTTTTGTCAGGCCCACCACGGAATTATGGCCCGTTCTTCGCAAAGATAAAGAAACCACCCCCCTACGCCATCAGGGAGCAGACGGCCCCGCCCCTCACGCAGTCTCGCCCCTGCGCGCCCCGCCTTCCCGGAAGGGGCGGGCCCTTCTCTGAGGGGCGGGGCGGGGCTGGAAGCCAGCTAGCTACGGGCACTTTTGGCGGGAAGTTGGTTTAGCTGGGCTACTTGCAGCCGTTCGGGTTCTGAATCCGCGCCTGGTCTCTCTCCGGAAGCTTCTCAGTCTTCACTCTATGATCTTGATGTAGGACCTAGTACCAGTCCGCACGGAATACGCCATGGCTTCCAAGAAACGCCCAGAAACCCAGAAGTCCCCTGAGGTCGTGCGCCTCAGGAGCAGGAGGAGCAGAAGCCCCCGGGAGCTGGAGCCTCAGGCCAAGAGGCTCCGTGTGAAGAGCTCCGGTACTGCCTGGGCCTGCGACTTTACATATCTGCCGTTTGGGGTGCTCACGCCGGAGCTGGAATGGGGGGGCGCGCCTATGTCCCTAGACGGTCCCAGGTCCCCGACGCCCCAGGCTATGCATTTTGCCGGCGGGTCCACTGACACCCGAGATTTAGTGACAGCGCCCTACCCCCACCCTCATCCCAGGTGACAGAAAGAAGCAGGTGGGCTCCAGTAGCCCTGCCACGGACTCTTCCGGTCCTCATTTGTCCCAGGATTGTTACACACCGAGACTGCTTGAAACAATCCTACCTTTCCAGGTGCCTAGGTTGCTGTTTCCTTAGAGTCGTTAGCTGTCCGTCCTTGGTTTCAGCTGTGAAAGTGCAGCAGCTCCCTTCCTTCTAAAAGCTCATGCTCAGAGGTTTACAGGGCTTTAACCTGCAACTGTAAGGAGTTGAGGAGTGGTGATGAGGTGGTTTTTGTCCATGTAGAAGTAAGAACTGGTTGTCAAGAGGTAGGACTCTGCAGATTGGGTCCACAATACAGTTTGGTGATTCAGAGTTGCATTATTCTTACTATAATTTGACTTACTCTCCAGAGTAACCTAGTTAATTTAGAGCTATTCCAGACTCTACGGGGGACTTGGGGGTGACTGTTGGTCTCATCTACATTATTTTTTGTCATTGTTTTGTTGAGATAAGGTGTTGCTATGTGGTCCAGGCTGGCCTCGAGCTCTCAATCCTCCTGCCTCAGCCTTCCCACTGCTGAGATTACAAGAATGAGCCACCACACCTCAGTTCTCTCTACATTATTTTAATATAGTAAATCCTATATTAAAATGCTTCACTTCCTGAACAGTTGCTTCTACATACTGTCCTAAAATCTTTTTATCGTGCATTATATGTGATTTTAAAATTGTCTTCCAACCCATTTTCCATCCCATACTGGGAAGAGTGCTGTGGCCTTTATTCTTGTGTATTCTTTTGGCTCAGTTCTCAGGAATGCTGCAAGATCACATCTAGTTTCACTTCAAAATTACCGTTTGGGGAAGTGTTTTGGGGAAGGGTCAAATCTGTGCTCATTATTTCGTTCTTGTGCTGAGTGAGACTAAACAGACCATGGAAAAGTTTTAAGAGGTGAGGAGACAGACTGGCCATGCTGAATAAAACAACAAGGCTTTCTTTATGAGATTTCGCCGAAAAACCTTTCTGAGATTGGAAAGGAAAATATGTGTCTGTTGTTCTTGGCAGGTTCTAGTAGGAGAGGTGACTCAGGCTGCCTTTGGGCAGGGCTGGCTAGCCTGCAAGTCCCACCACCGTGCAGCAGCATCATCAGGGACCTCTACCGGCATAAGTTGGGTGAAGCTGCCTGGCCTTCACTACAGCAGGTGAGGCATTTTCCTAGTTCAAGAGCTCAAGGCTTTGTTCAGCTTTTCAACTATTGGCTATTCCAACACTAGATGATGGGTTGGTTCCACAGGTTGTCAGAGTGGTCAGATGACCCCCCCAGCCATGTGATTGACCTACTGGGCATTCAGTAGGAGAAAAGTATTGTAAAGGTCTCAGTTGGAATGCACTCTGTCCCCTTGTCTCCAAGATCAGTTCATATACATTGCAGATATTCATGTACAAGGCCAGGCCACCTTCCTTTAGTGAAAGCACTTGGGTTCATCTATAAAGGAGTCAGAGATTGACAGTTTACCCAGAACTTGAGTTTGAGTTTGAATGCAACTAATTCTTCTTCTTCTTTTTTTTTTTTTTTAATGGTGCTGGGGCTTGAACTCAGGGTCTACACTTTGAACCACTCCACCAGCCCTTTTTTGTGATAGGTTTCTTTCGAGATAGGATATCGTGAACTATTTGCCTGGGTTGGCTTTGAATCTCAGTCCTCCTGATCTCTGCCTCCTGAGTAGCTAGGATTATAGGCGTGAGCTACTGGCACCTGGTGCAACTAATTCTTTTTTAATTTATTTTTTCTTTTCATCAGGGTCTCCAGCAGTCCTTTTTGCACTCTCTGGCTTCTTACCAGATATTCCAAAAAGCTGCGCCCTTTGACAGGAGAGCTACATCCTTGGCATGGCACCCGACTCACCCCAGCACCCTGGCTGTGGGTTCCAAAGGAGGAGATATCATGCTCTGGAACTTTGGCATAAAGGACAAACCCACCTTCATTAAAGGGGTAAGCAGTTTCCATGCCAGATGATAGTGCTTAAAGAAGTGTTCATTGAAGGAATGAAAGGAATGTTGACATTATCCAGGAGCAAGATGATTAAGATTAAAAAATAACTGGGCATTTTCAAACATGGAAATGGTAATAATATTAATTACTTATTGAATGCCTGCCCTTGAAATACTAGAAGGTATAGACTAGTGATCACTTACAGAGTGATCTTACCTCTTTGTCTTTATTTTGTCTGTCCTTCCTGTGTTAGTCAGACTTTCAGCACCATGACAAATATGTGAGAGAAACAATTTAAAGAACGAAGGATTTATTTTAACTCAGTTTCAGAGATTTTAGTCTCTGCTGGCTGCCTCCATTGTTTCTGGACCTGGTAGAAGGGTATGATGGAACAGAGATGCTCAGCTTATGGTAGTCAGGAAGGAGGGGGAGAGAGAGAGACAGAGACAGGAACCAGGCTGGCTTCCTCTAATAGCTCAGGGCTTTGTTTAACCAACCTTTGTTTGTTGGTATTGGGGTTTGAACTCAGTCTCATGCTTGCTAGGCAGGCACTCTACCACTTAAGCCATCCCCCCAGCATTAGTTATTTTTCGGATAGGGTCTTGTGGGTTTTTTTGCTTGAGGTCGGCCTTGGACCTCAATCTTCCTATCTATGCCTGTCTGTAACTGGGACCACGCATGTGTACCACCTAACCTGGCTCAATGGTTAAGATTAGGGGAGGGGGTTGGTCTCATTAACTTTTACCTGGGCTGGACTCAAACCATGATCCTCCTGATTGCTGTGGCCTGAGTATCTGGGAGCTACCTCTTCCAGCTCTGAATCTACCTGTATAAAGAGGCTTTCACTGTCACTTCTACTCAGAAAGTAGCTCTCACCCCACCTAATCATTCCCTAGATCATTCCCCTACTTCACGTTCCCTCCAAAATGTTTATTGGTATCTGAAATACTGTATTTCTTTGTGTGTCTTTGCCCACAGAAAAATAGGCTCCATGATGGCAGGGACCTTGTCTTGTTCACTACCAGATTTCCAGGGCCTACAAGTGACTTACAGTAGCTGTTTTGTATTTGTGGAATGAATAAGGGGCTTGAAGTGCACCTGGGCAAAGGGGATGTATACATACAACATAACTAACAATACAGATGCTAAATGTTCCACAACCCAAAAAAAGGAAGAACCTGGTTGATGGAGAGGTCTTCGTGGATGAGTCAGGAAGAACAATATTTAATTAAATGAAGAAAGGAGGAGGAAAGGCATAGTGTATTGAGACAAGGCTTGGCAGTTTTTAGGGGTGATCTTTTGGTCATTCTCTTCCCCCACTCCCTGCTACTGTTGCTGTTGCTGTTGCTGGGGCTCAAAGGCAAATGCTGTATCATTGAGCTACACCATTAGCCCCCTTAGGGTTGGTCTAAAAGGTGCTAGTGTTTATTGCTGAGGAGTAACTGTGTTGTGCCCTCCAAGACCTTTGGCTGAAATTGGAGGGCTATACTGTGAAAAATGACTTTCTCCCTGGGCATGGTGATGAACATCTATAACCCCAGCCAAAGAGGGAGGCAGAGATAGGAGAATCATAGTTCATGGCCAGCTCAGACAAAAGAAGTTAGCATGACCCTATCTCATAAAGACAAACTGGGCATGGTGGTACATATCTGTAATCCCAGCTGCATGGGAAGTGGAGGATCCTGTCCATGGTGGGCCCAGACAAAAGCAAGAGACCCTATCTAAAAAGTAATTAAAGCAAAAAAAAAAAAGGCTGGGGGCATGGCTTAAGCAGTACAGCACTTGCTTTGTAAGCCCAAGGCCCTGATTTCCAACCCAGTACTGCTGCTCACCAAAAAAAAAAAAAGATTTAAAAAAGTGATTTGCTGGTTTTAGAGCAGGAATCTCAAATTCAATAGACTCAAAAAGATAAATTTAAAAGAGAATCAGGTTATGATGGTTGGGCACTGGTAAACTAGTGACTGTTACCATACAAGAATATAGGTCTTGTGGTATCACATATTTTTAAAAATATTTTTTGACATATGAATAAACAAATAAGAAATACATATTTTTTGAAATACAGATTTTTTTAAAAACATGAAACATCCTGAGGCTTTTTTGTTTCGTTTTGTTTTTGGCCCAGGCTGGCCTTGACTTTGCAAAGTCCTCCCTCCTGATTTTTTTTAATGGTAAAATGTACATAACTTAAAACTTACCATTCTAAAAATTATTACAAGTTGTGATAAAATACATATAACATAAAATCTACCATCTTAGCCACTTTTTCTTTTTTTTTTTTGAAACAGGGTCTCTCTATGTTGCCCTTGTGGCCCTGCACTCTCATGCTCTTCTTGTCATCCTGCTTCAGCCTCCCAGTTAGCTGTGGCTTGGATGAACACCACTAAGCCTGACCTAACTGCTTAAGTTACAGTTCACTGGGATTAAGTAAATTTTGTAACCAGTCTCCAAAGCTTTTGAATATTGGGGCTAAATAAAATTATGTACACATCTGAGCTAGATTGTGTTTCAGCTCACCATTTTTCCAGCTCTGGCTTAGAGTTTGGATGATATGAGGGAGAATCTGGGATGAGTTCTCTTATAAATGCAAGGTTTTGAGGAGTAGCCCATCAGAAAAGCCCAAGTTAAGCCAGGCACTGTGGCTCATGCCCTATAATCCTAGCTACTCAGGAGGTGGAGATCAGGACTGAGGTTCCAGGACAGCCTAGGAAAAAAGTTCGAGAGACCCTATCTCAACCAATTGGCTGGGCACAGTGGTTTATACCTGTCATCCCAGCTATGCAGGGAAGCACAAATAGGAGGATCACAGTTGAGACCAGCCTGAGCATAAAGTGAGACCCTATTTAAAAATTACCTAAAAGTGCCAGGCATTGTGACTCATGCCTATCATCCTAGCTACTTGGGAGCCTGAGATCGGGAGGATTAAGATTCCAGGTCAGCCCAGCCCAGGCAAATACTTCCCAAGACCCCCATTTCCAAAACTAACCAGCGCAAAATGGACTGGAGGTCTGGCTAAAGTGGTAGAGTGCCTGCTTTACAAGCGTGGATCCCTGAGTTCAAACTCCAGTCCCACCAAAAAAAAAAAAAAAATCCTAAAAGTATATATAAAGGGTTGGTGGAGTGGTTCAAGTGGTAAGCACCTGGAAGGTAAACACAAGGCCCAGAGTTCAATCCCCAGTACTGCCAAAAAAAAAAAAAAAAAAAAAGCCAGGTTAGATAGGCATGGGAAGCTTGGACTCCAGGTGTGAGATGGTTGTTAAGAAAAATAAGTGCCAGGGCCAGGTGCTATACTCCCAGCTACTCAGGAGAAGGAGATCAGGAAGATCAAGGGTTGAGGCCAGCCTGGTTAAAAAGCTAGTGAGACTCCATCACAACCAATAAGCCAGGACATGGCAATGCTTGCCTGTGATCCCAACTATACCAGAGGCTTTAAGTATGAGGATCATGGTCTGATCCCCAGTTAAAAACAAGAGACCCTACCTAAAAAATAAAGCAGAAAAAGGGTTGGGGGCATGGCTTAAGTGATAGAGCAACTGCCTAGCAATTGCAAGGCCCTGAGTTCAAACCCCAGTATTGCCCAACAAAATAATAATTAAATTTAAAATAAATAAATAAATAAAACAAATACTGGAAGCCAGAGGAAAGACAGCCAGAGGAGTGCTGAAACAGGGCTCAGTAAGTTTTTTGTCCCTCTAAAAAGGTAGGTAATAAAGCAGGTGACTATCAGGAGGGGAGCTTCAAATTGAAGTCAGAACCCAGAGTTCAGGCTGGAAGGGATTTATTTTTTCTAGAAATCTAGGACATGGGAGTAGAAAAATTTGATTAAGCCTAGAGGTAGCAAAAAGTAGCTTAGGATATTCTAGGGAAAGAGCCTCCTTACAGAAAGGGGAATGATGACTACTTTGAACTTGGGCCAGACGGAGGCCCAACTTGGGCACATGCTTTTGTGATGTGTGTGTGCGCATGTGTGTTGCTGAGGATCAAATCAAGGTCCTCATGCATGCTGAATGTACTCTACTAATAAGCCACATCCTGTATCACCTCTTGTTACAATACGCATACAACTAAAGTTTCCTTATACCTTCACGGGATTGGTGTGAGCATTTGAATCTTGTGACTTGCAGGGAATTAGCTTGGACGAGAGGAAGCATAGGCTGGTCTGTGAACTGCGTGTTAACTCTCTGATACTGACAGCATAAAGTTGATTTGAGATAGGTAACTGGGGGAGCAGCAATGCTACATTTTGTCACTACTTTAGTCATCTGATTTGGCTGTAGTTTTGACATCTTTCAGGCCCCTTGATTAAGGAATATGTTATATTTTCAAAATGAAGACAGCATTATTGTATTTTTATACACTTCATCTTCATAAAATTTCAAACAATAAGAGAAAAGTATGAGCTGAGCATAGTGGTGCATACCTGTGTTTCCAGCATTTGGGAAGCTAAGGCAGGAGGATTGTGAGTTTGAGGCTAGCCTGGGCTACATTGTGAGACCCTGTCTCAAACCAAAAAAAAGTAAATTGATTCAAATTCCCCATTTTCAGCATTTGTCTGTGCATGTATACACTATTATACACACCCATTCTTCTCCTTCTAGTATTACATAAATATTTTGTCATATATTAATCATTACCGTATCAGAAGATGACCTTTAAAAATATCCCATAATTTTCTTTTTTTAATAGTGCCTTGGTTTTGATATAAGATTCATGCGGACCGCATAAAATGAGGTGGGAAGTATTTTCTCTGTTTCTGTTTTCTGGAAGAGTTTGTGCAGAATTGATATTCTTCCTTGCTTTTTTTTTTGTAAAATTAGCAAAGTCATTTAGGTATGGAAGTTTTTTCTTTTTAACTATTTCTTGAGGTATAATTGCACAGTAAACTGCACACGTTTAAAGTATTCAGTTTGGACAGGGATACAGCTGTGAGCCCATTAAAATACTCATTAAAATATGTTCATTGAAATCATGAACATATCTATTGCCCCCAAAAGTTTCCT